TTCTGCCTGTTTCATACTATATAATTCAACTATGTATGTTTTCCTTTAATTTGGCTTAAGTTGGACATTCTTGGAGGGTAGAACCATGATTTCCTATTATTTACTTTGTTCTTGAAAGATTACAACAACCTAAAAAATTTTCTAAGAAATATTTTCCATTACAAAGGGCATGATAAGGTGGACATAAATAGTCTGCTGATTATATGAGGGAGTAATTTTTAATAGTTTTCTGTACATTATTAATGTTTGGAGAAGAAATCAAAACTAGGAATACCAATTAGAAAGGTTCGAATTTATTTGAGAGGAAAAATGGGTAGGCAGGCAACTACTTTGACAAAATAACCTGTCTAAACATTAGTCTTCTTTAAAATCTGTTTTTGTATCGTTCTTTTAAATATTGATATAATATCTCTGGATGTGGTAACTTAACAAAACCTAGAAGAGTTTGAGCCTGTAACTCAGACAGACCTATATTCAAAACCCTGTTCCTCCACCATCTACAAGCTGGGTGGCCTTGGTCAGGTTATCAAATGTACATAATCTCAAGTTCCTAATCTGTATAACCTCTGTCTCATGGGGTTTCTTTGAAGGCAAAGGGAGTTAATACATGTGAAACACTTAGTAACGGGCCTATCACATAATGCATGCTTAGATACTGCTAAGTATTATTATTTTTATTATAGCACCTTAATTAAAATATAAAATAATGTGGGAACTGGGAAGAATTTGAATTTTTATCAAATGACCCTATAAGGAAAACCTAAAATTTTGTTGTAATAGGAAACATTGCTTCTTAGACTGTACTTAAGAACTTGCTTCTTTAAATTCTTACATTTTTAGTATTTTTAAATAATTTCTTCAGTGTAAGTAGCAAAGAAATCTTTAAATGAAATGCTAAATTATGATAGAAAATTATAATGAATTTCACTGTTTGAGATAATATTTATAGTTTATTCTCTCAACATTTTCCTAGAAGCTTTTTAAATGTAATAATTCATTTTAACTAGAAGAGACATCTTCAGGAGTTTGGAAAATTTTAATTTAGACTTAGTATTATTTGTTAACCTATCTTTTTTATATAGTTACGTGTATTATTCTGTTACAGTTAAAGTATCAGAGAATCTTGGAACGATTAGAAAAGGAGAACAAAGAGTTGAGAAAATTAGTATTGCAGAAAGATGACAAAGGCATCCATCATAGAAAGCTTAAGGTATTTTAAGTTTATCTTAATTTGTAAATTCTCAGAACTTTGCTACTTAACCTTGTGTGTTCATCAATACCAGTTTTTGAGGAGCTATAAAGTATTCTATCATTCTTTTTTTTCTAACCTAATGTCCTTGGGAGTAGGAGGAGCTCTTCCTGTATTAACACATTTTACAAATTATAGACTCTAAAGATATGTTTTATGCTAAGCCCATAAAATCTTTGTACTTTTAAGAGTCATTTCTTATGAATCAATTTATTTTTCTGAAATACTTAGTTTATCTCTAGGCTTAATTTCTATATCTGTAAAATCAGAATTTAATTGATGGACACTTAACATCATTTCTTTACTTCTCTTTCCAGTGAATGATTAGGCCACTTCAGTTTTGTTTTTTTTTAAATTAACACTTTCTTCTAATAGAAGGATTCTTAGGCATTTACAGAATTTTTGAAAAAGCATATGCTGATATTGTTATCATAAGCACATTGGTAATTACCATTAAATTTTATTATTCTCCACCATATTTGCTAAACTGAAGTAATTCTTTTAACTTCAATCTCTTATAAGTAAACAATTTATGTATAGTAAAACTACAGTGTAAATCATGGCACATGTATTCTGTAGCCAGAGTCCAAACATACATAGTTCTAGTTTAACCAACATGCATTAGGAGCTCTGACTCTAAATCATGGTTATACAAAACAGATAAATAGCATGACTTATTTGCAAGTGGCACCTAGTAGTTGCAAAAATCATGTCCAAATGTTAATGTATATCAAGAGTTTACCTCAGAAACTGTTTTCTCTCATAAAATGCAATTTTAATGAAAATTTTTATTTATTTTTAGATAGATGGGATGGCAGTTGTTTGCCATTTAATTATTTCTAGGTATTAAGAGATGAAAGGAACCCGAAGCCCTCATTTTGTTCCTACCTTAGCATTAGAACTTATTATACCCATTTTTCCCAGGCTTATTTATTTGTTTGTTCATTCATTCATTCATTCATCAAATAATTACTTGAAGTTTGTCGCATTCAGGGCACCATGTTCAATCCTGGTTATACAGAGAGAAACGGCATAAGACGTTTGCCCTTGATGCACTCACATTTTGGCCTGCCCAGTTATCAGGGTACACTTAACAACTTTTACTGCTTTAACAGTCTCCTTGGTGTTCATTTCTCTTGTTTTATCCTTTTTTTAGGCACTTGCTTGTGCATTTTCTCTTTTCTCTCTCTTCTCTCTCTCTCACTCACACACACACACATACACAGACACACAACCCAAACTTGGCAAAGAATAATTTCATTATTGGTTGGTCACCTTATCCCTTACTTGGCCTTTTTCGGTGTTAATGGTCTTCCTCTGTTGGGCATTTATTATTAGCTCATCAGTATTAAATAATAATTTCTCTTTGTTATTTAATTAGAAGGTTAGGAAATCCTGAATTAATGAACCTTATTAAATCAGTTTATCACTAAATAAAATAAACTAAATAAGAAGAAATGGAATTTTATTCTGTACTATGTTAGTTTTTACTATGAAACTATATTTATGTAATTAGAAATAAATAATACAATGATTATGGAAAAACAATTTGAATTTATCAGCTTTTTTGTTTCTTGACCCCTCTGTGGTATTTCTTTTTTAAAATGTTTTCACTATTTAAAAAACTATTAATTTTTTAAAATTTTACAGAAGTCTTTGATTGACATGTATTCTGAAGTACTTGATGTTCTCTCTGATTATGATGCCAGTTATAATACACAAGATCATCTGCCACGAGTAAGTAAAAAAATTAATAGGCAGTAAACTTGCCCTATTAGCAAAAAAAAAAAAAATTTAGCTTCTTAAAAATGATGTGTATATATGTATACATACACACCACATCCATACACATATACACACATAGTTATATATTTTACATAGGATTATTCATGTGTTCCGGGTAGTATCTTAAACGGTATTGTTTGACTATTTTGGTCCATTATAAGTACCTAATATTTATGTATTACTTGAATTTATGCGTTATAAAGGAAGGCTATTAGATTTTTGGCATTATATATTTATAATATTTGCAATATTAAATTATTAAATGGTGGATTAAATTAGGCTTAAGACTGAAATTTAACTTAATAGAATTGAAAATGTGTTTATAAAGAGTAAGCTAGCTATAAAGATTTGTGGAAAGTTAGTAATCTGATTTTAGAAATAGTGGTTTAAATTAGCACAAGTTTTTAAAATAAAAATTTGGCTATAAATAATGGATCCAGTTAATGTTTTGCTAGTTATTTTTTCAACGTGCGTACATCAACTATCATTTTTTTCATGGATTTCTAATAATTATTTCTTTAACTGTTGATATTTTAAAAGACTAAAAAACTTAGAGCAGCATTCCAAATCTATTTGAATTTAATTGGTATCAGATAAATAAGAATAAATGTTATTTGTTTTGCACTGAGGTTGTTGTGGTTGGAGATCAGAGTGCTGGAAAAACCAGTGTGTTGGAAATGATTGCTCAAGCACGAATATTCCCAAGAGGATCTGGGGAGATGATGACACGTTCTCCAGTTAAGGTAAGAAAATAGGCCATCTGAATGAAGTTCCTTCGGGAAGTAACCACTTCAGTGAGGTCTGTTTATTGTGTTAAAATGAAGACTTTTAACTAAAGAAAGAATTGATATATAGTACTTGGAATCATTCCTAGTGTGGAAATCAGTAGGAGGCACAACCAGGAGGCCAGTGTGGCAGGAACTGACTAAGGGGAGATGGATGGGAGAGGATGTCAGAGGCCCAGAGGGAGGCCAGGCTCTACTGAGCCATTATAAGGCCTTTGGGTTTTATTCTGAGTAAGATCACTGAGAAGTTGAGTAGAGAATGAGAATATTGGAAGTAAAGTCAGTGAATATAGATAATTTCCTGGTTTTATTGTAAAAAAGAGCAGAGATATGGGGCAATAGCAGTTGAATTATGTTGAGTAAAGGGAAGGTTTTAAAGATATTTATGTGATGATTGTAATGATCTAGTAAAGGGAAAGAAAATGATGCAAGAGAGAGGGAATAATTGCAAGAGCAAAGTTACTGAGGTGAAGGAGGCTGGGACTCAGTCTACAAGTTGTCCATAACGATTTATCCATGGTCAAAGGAAGAATGTATGTAGTTACCGAGTCTTTCATTGAACAGATATTTATTGAACACTTATAAGTACCAGCAGCCAGGCACGGTGGCTCACCCCTGTAATCCCGGTACTTTGGGTGGCTGAGGTGGGAGGACTGCTTGAGGCCAGCAGTCCGAGACCAGCCTGGGCAACATACCAAGACCCCGTCTCTACAAAAAGTAAAAATAAAAAAAATCTTATCTGGGTACAATGCCTATAGTCCTAGCTACTCGGGAGGCCTGAACCCAGGAGGTTGAGGCTGCGGTGAGCTATGATCGCACCACTGCACTCCAGTCTGAGTGACAGAGTGAGACTCTGTCTCTAACCAAAAAAAAAAAAAAAAAATGCCAGCACTGTTCTAGGCAACTTTTGGTTAAAACAAGAAAAAAAGATCCTTGCCATAGTGGAGGATACATTCTAAGAGAAAGAGACAGACAATAAATAATAAACATAATGAATAACTAAACTATATAGTGTGTTAGAAGGTGGTAAGTGTTGTGCCAAAAAGAAGTAGTAGAGCCAGGTAACGGGAATGGAAGCCAAATTATTATATCAACTGTTAGTTAAAGGTCCCAGGGTGCTGTTCGATTGCACTGATAATGTAGCATTTGAACCAACATTTGCAGAAGTGAGGGAGATAGTCATGTGGATGTCTAGTGCAACAGCGTTAGGCAGAGAGAATAGCTAGTGTAATTGAAGTGGCTGGGTGGCTGTCATATTCAAGGAATAACAAAGAGGCCAGTGTGGCTAGACCATAAGTGAAGAGTAGTAAGTGATGAGGTCAGAGGGGTAACACAGGGCAGGAAGAAGAAGATCATTAGGGCCTTATAGGACATTGTACAGACTTTGGTTTTCATTTTGAGTAAAATGGAGAGCCAGTGCCAGATTTTGAGTAGAGTAACAACATTGCCTTTTAAAAGGCTCTTGCTGCTTTATTGAAAATAGATGTAGGCAAGATAGGTAGAACCAGGGAGACCAGGTGGGAGCCATTAGAATATCCAGGTGATACTTGGACCAGGAAAGTAGCAGTGAAGATGATAAGAAATGGTTGGATTATGAATCTATTTTGAAAGTAGAATCAACAGGATTTCTTTACAGATTTGATATGGGAAGAGAGAGAAAAAGAACGTGTCAGTTATCAAGGATGGCTCCCAGGTTGTTGGCCTGAACAAATTAAAGGATGTGGTTTATATAGGAATGTCTGTGAGTGGATCAGGTTTGGGGTAAGATCAGGAGTTCAGTTTTGGACTCACTGAAGGGTGATGACAAATAAGCAGTTGGATATACAAGTTTAGAGAGAGGTCTGGACTAGAGACACAAATTTAGGAGTCATGCTCAAATATCAAAAAGTAGTATTCAAAGCCATGATCTTATTGGGTGAGATCTCCAAGGGAGGGATGGAAATAGAGAAGACACAGGACCAAGGATTAAATCCTGGGCACTCTCAACATTGAGAGGTTGAGGGAAGAGGAAACAACAGAGGAGTGTGTGAAGGTGCAACCAGTATGATAAGAGGGAAACCAGAACAGTGCAGTGTACTAGAAGTCAGGTAGAGAAAATATTGATGAGGAGGGAGTGCTCAACGAGGTCAGATGCTACTGATAGATCAAGGAAGATGAAGACTGAGATTCGATCATTGAATATACCAGTGCAGGCAAGTAAGTGAAATGTGTGGAAGTTTCCTTCTCATTGCATCTGCTTCCTCAAATAAGAAGCCGAATTTTCAGCTGTCAATTAAAGAGAATGGAGAAGAGATTGAAGATTGAGGCAGGAACAAAAAGTGAAATCTTTTCTAAGAGATTGTGGTGACTCTAGGAAGGAAGTCAAATATTAGGATTGCTGAGTTGGACTGAAGTCCCCTTTAAGGTCTGTGGACAGAAATTTAAAGTGAATCTATATAGTTACATTTGTTTTGTTTCTTTCGTGTTCGCTTAATAGGGGTAGGTATAGAGTAGTGGGAAAATTGGAAAATTGAAATTACCAAGAATTGTGGCCAGAATAGTGGTAGAAACTGAAGACAATGTGAGGCTAATGATAAAATCTTTAAGAAATGAACAAGGAAGAGTATTAGTCTAAAGTGAGTCATACAAAGTTCGCTTTTGGGAGTCTGGCTATGAATTGAACCATGTTGTGTGACACTGGTTCCTTTTTCAATGCTCTGTGGTATTGTGACTGTACCACATTTTACTATCAATGGGAATTTGAGTACTTCCAACTTAGGGAAAAAATACAGAAAAAACAAAACGAACCTTGGACTATCATGCTCATATAACGCTCATATCATGTTCAGTAATCATATCTCATATCATGCTCAATAATCATACTCAATAATCAATTGTAAAAACATTGGAAATTTACCTTTTACATTGTTAATAGCACCCTAAGGTAGAGGCTATGGATGATATTTCAGGAAGGAATTTAACTTTGTTTTGGCAGGTGGATAGAGTATGGCAGGTTTCTTGGACACAGACAAGACAAGGCTCTTCTCTTTCGAGTTTGCCCTTAGTCCCCTAGCGTTTACAGAGCTTCTCTTTGAGGGACCCTGAACTCTAGGTTTTTCTTTCCCCAGAACAGTGAAAGTGCCAAAATCTTGACTTAGTATTTCAGCCTCATTAGCAATTTCTTTCTGCTTGGTTTCTTAATATATGAATGCCTTGAAGGGAACTTGTGCACAGGAGGTAGGGTTTAGTTTGGGGAGGTTTATTTCTGCAGTCCATTTTTCTCAGGGATCTTGGCACCTTATGTTGTGGCTGCTTGATAACCATGAATTCCAATTTTTATCTACTCAACCCAATTAAACTGCTACAGATTTTAAGCTTTTTACTTGGGCCTCTGCCTTGTGCCACAAATTAGCAAGTGCTCTGATGGGAAATAGCTGCAGAAAAATCCTTACAAAATCCTTTGGGATCCCAGACTCTTAGGCTGGGCTTCCGGGATTGCTTTCAAACAGCTATTTTTTTTTTTTTTTAAATCTAGCCTGTTTAGCTAATCTCAGTGGAAGAAATTATACTTTGTAAAGTAAAATAGAGTAATTACAGAAAAGCTGAAAAGTTAAGGAATGTGAAGTTCATGAAACCGCTGATTGTTAATATATGTTGCTATAAAATTTCTTGCCAAGATATGACTCCTTGGGTGAAGGCTGCCTTAGCTGCATTATACTATTCTCTTCTGTGGCACCCTGGGTTTTGCCACTCTCTTCTATTATGTCTGTGTATATTTCTTTCTCCTAGGATATAGTGAAGTCTAAAACAGAGACAGTCAACTCTTTGTATTTCCCTACCTACAACACCACATATTTCACTCTCAATAAATAGACATTGAATAAATGAATTGTCCTTTGCCTAAATTCATCTTTGAAGTTAAGTGCAAGATTTTCTTTTACTTTTTGAAGTTTTAGAGTGATCATTTTGTGCTTGTATAACGTTGACTAGAGAAAGAAAGGGACAGGCAGCAGCATTTTAGATCATAAAAGAAATAAAATAATCAGCAATCTGGTTGGGAAATGACAATACGTGTGACATATGTATGAACAATACAAATACAAAATTATTGTGCGCTCATAACTATCATGTTGACAGCTCCAGGGGCTGCTCCTAAAGTGTAGTGTGAAGGGTCTCTCAGATTTGTGCAATGTGGTAGCCCTGTCTAGACCACGTAAGTGCTATGGGAATTAATATTAATTGTAAATGCATTATTACATCTCAGTTTTCTATTACTATTAGGTGACTCTGAGTGAAGGTCCTCATCACGTGGCCTTATTTAAAGATAGTTCTCGAGAGTTTGATCTTACCAAAGAGGAAGATGTAAGTAGAATTCATCTAAGGTTCATATGTGTAATTTTATAACCCTTATGAGTTTATAAAAGACAATTAAATGGAATATTTGTGAACTAAGATTTTCTTAGGATTTTGTTGTTTTCTATTAATAGCTTGCAGCATTAAGACATGAAATAGAACTCCGAATGAGGAAAAATGTGAAAGAAGGCTGTACAGTTAGCCCTGAGGTAAGGGTTGCAATTTATTTCAGTAATATTTTATGGCAATCCAATGTTTATGATTTCAAATAAATCATAATATTGGTATTGATGTTTAGATTGCAGCTGTCCTGAGATACATAATTTCTTTTAAAAAATTCCAAATGTATCATTTTGTGGGTAATTTTCTAATCACTATTATAGGATCAGAAAAAGAATATATTTTTTTCTGTGTAGCGTATCTGTATGGGTGAGATATAGAATTTTCAGAATATATGTTGCCAGACAATTTTTTAACAAACTCCCCTCAAAAATTAATGTTTTTTTCTTCTTGAGTAGACCATATCCTTAAATGTAAAAGGCCCCGGACTGCAGAGGATGGTGCTTGTTGACTTACCAGGTGTGATTAATGTAAGTATATACCAAACATGTATCTTATTTTATTACTGTTGTGGGAGACATTTTTAATGACATTTAAAACCTTTTTCTTCAAGACTGTGACATCAGGCATGGCTCCTGACACAAAGGAAACTATTTTCAGTATCAGCAAAGCTTATATGCAGAATCCTAATGCCATCATACTGTGTATTCAAGGTAAATTATATCAAAAGATTTTAATCATACCAATACACTTTCTTCTTTAGCATTACAGGCTTTGCTCTAAATAATGCACATTATATAAACATACAAAATAAATGAGTTTTTGCCTTCTTGTTCATTTTATTGGTAAATAGAACTGAAGTTGGAATTATTTTGATAAATTTCACTGTTGGCATCATTGAAATTTTTAGTGGCTAGAATTTCTTTTCATAAATAAAATAAATGTATTAAATTTTTCTTGCTATAATGTGACACAAGTGTATAACTTGTGCTAAGTTTTTAAAGCCTACTTTGCATTTTTAAAACCCACAGTGTCATTTTAAAATTTTTTTTCAGATGGATCTGTGGATGCTGAGCGCAGTATTGTTACAGACTTGGTCAGTCAAATGGATCCTCATGGAAGAAGAACCATATTTGTTTTGACCAAAGTAGACCTGGCAGAGAAAAATGTAGCTAGTCCAAGCAGGGTGAGGGCAAATTCTTTGTACAAGCTCCAGCTGTGATAGGGATTGACTATTAAAAAAAAATCCTTGTGGAATAATTTATCAGAAAGTAGTAGTGGGATTTTTCTTGTTTCTTTTTAAAAACAAAGTGCTAGAAAATTACAGTAAATTACTTAAGTGTAATTTTGAAATATAAATAAAATTTCATAATTATAGTTAATTATGCTTCAGAAGTACTTAAACTGCTAATTTGCTTGCCCTAATTTGATTTGAATAATTTTATATGCTAACATATTGTCATTAGCTTCATTTGTTGTGTTTCTTTCTTTTTTTTGAGTTAGTTATAGTATAGATTCCCTAAGTTAGTGATAGTATGGATTCCTTTTGGACCTTATATATGTCATTTTATTGCAGGTAAACATTCCTTTCCCTAACTCATCAAAGACTGTCTAGCAGATTTTCATAGTAGAAAAGGCATGGGACTGGGAGTTAGGCTTCAACAGTTTCATCCATGCTCCACCACCAACTGGCTCTATGTTGTTGGGCAAACTTTGTTTCTTTTCTAAATCTAATCAATGCAGAATCTAGCCCATTAGTCTAGTTGACTAGACTAGGTCTAAAGTCATTTCATTTCTGAAATTCTGTGAGTTCTGTACATCGTGTTCATTGTCTCTTATCCTAGGGAAATGTATTTTTAGAATTATTTCACTGAAATCTATAACACCTTTCCTCTTTACTCCTCCTTTAACAAAGAAAGAGTTTTATTTCAAGGTAACATTGTATACAAATCTTATTAGGGTGAAAGTTTTGACTCAAGACGTGTTCTCTACTTAGTTGTAAAGTCATAAGGTAGTAGTTATGAGTACAGATTCTATAGCCAGATGCCTTAGTATCAAATCCTGGCTCTACCATTTGCTAGCTGTGTAACCTTGGGTAAATTATTTAACTTTTCAGTGCTTTAGACTTCCTTATCTGGTGGAAATGAAGATATTAATGGTTCTTTCTCATAGGTTGTGAAGATTTGATGAGTTAAATATATGTTGTAAAGTGGTTGGGATAATGCTTGGCATAAAAGTGTTATATACATAGAGACTGTCATCTGTTATTATATCATTATCTTCCATAGAACAACTACTTTGGACTTTAAGTACCCATCGCCGGTGATACTGCTTAGAATTTCTCTCCTTGCCACCTTAAACTTTCTGAGACCATGCCTCTGTCAGGGGTCCCCAAGACAGACCAGCCCTAGGGTCAGTGCTTCTTCAGAAGGACTCACAGCACATAGTCATACTTGTACCTAAGGTGTATTACAATGAGAGGATAAAACAAAATCACCAAGGGAAAAGGCGCATGGGATGAAGTCTGGAGGAAACCAAGCGTCCTCTCTAGTAGAGTCACACAGGGCATGCTTAATCCCTCCAGCAACAAATTTCTCATTAGAAACTCAGCACCTAAGGTTTTTATTGGAAAGTGGTTATGTAGACACCCCATGTAACAAAATTCCAGATTCCCAGAAGGAAAGCATATGTTTAGGATAAATCACATTATTTGCACAATGAGCCACTGTTACTTAGGTTAAGGTTTATGTCAGTGTAAGGCGCCGTTTACCAGTTTCGTTCCCAGATACCAGCCAAAGACAAGCAGGCCTTTTTAAGGATAACAGTCTTAGGCCTGCTGTGCTAACTCTTCTGCACAGCCTCCATGACCTCTGCTCTGCCTTATTTCTAAGGGGAAGACTTGCTGTGGCAATAATAGTCCTGATAAGAAGGAAAGAAGTGAGGTAGAAGAATTTCTGTGGCCTCCTCCATCTCTCTCTATTCCTTTCATTTCTTTTGAAATGCAATTGAAACTTACTTCAGCCCTTTTTATATCAAAGATTCGACCTTAGCTTAGGTTATAACTTGTTCTTAAAGGAAGGATTCTCACCCCTGTATTAATCTGAAGGGGCTTCAGAGAGAAGAGACTCTTTTATGTTGTGTGGGAATAGTAGATCTCTGTGCAAATACACATTTTTCTGGGTACAGAAACTATAATTTTTATCACATTAAGAAAAAGATTGTTGACCCTAAAAGAGTTGAGAACCAATGGATTCAAATATTTTAAAAGGTGAGGGGAAAGAAAAGGAGGAGGAAGGAATAAAAGAAGACAATCCAATTTGGTAAAAACTTAGGTATTTGAAGAAAGGATGGGGAAATAATAATAATATTAATAGCTATCATTTATTGAATACTTCTACATGGGTGGCATTGTGCTAAGTATCATATCCCATAATCATTTCAGTATTTTTGAGAAAGTTAAGTCACTTACTTAAGACCACATAGCTACTCAATGGCAGAGCAGGAATTCAAACTGAGGTCTGTCTGATTCCAAATCACTATGTATCATTGAAAGTTTTAATTTTGATAGATAATTTTAATAATACATTCTTAATATAGTAAAATTAAATGTATTTTGTACTCTTATAGCAATTAAAATATATTTTAAATGCTTTTGTACAGATTTATATATTTAACTATACATGTATAGTTATTAATGTATATATAATGACTATATAATACATAGTCATTAAGTTATTTTGCTTTTTAGATTGTATATTATACTCTTAAAAGTTTTGTAAACCTACATCTCACATTTATTTTTACTACTTTTTAAAATAGATTCAGCAGATAATTGAAGGAAAGCTCTTCCCAATGAAAGCTCTGGGTTATTTTGCTGTTGTGACAGGAAAAGGTATGCAAAGATACATTATTATAATCTGTGTTTAGTTTTTGTTATTTTCACATAATAAGGTTAATTTTCTTGGTGAAAATTTGGCCACCATCTTCCCGCAGGAAACAGCTCTGAAAGCATTGAAGCCATAAAAGAATATGAAGAAGAATTTTTCCAGAATTCAAAACTTCTAAAGTAGGTGTCTTGTTAAAATATTTAAACATTTTACAGTGAGGGAGTAGCTTAAATTAAACTGTTTTTACCTAAAAGTTCATGTTTTATAGCTGTTAGTTTAACATTGAATTTCTAGAATTGTTCCCAAATAGTAATCTGTATCTAATAAGCAAGTCCTTAAACTGGTCTTTGACAGAATTAGGAGCAGTTCATCCCATGTTACAGTAGATGATGGCCTAATAAACTACCTTTTGGGATGTGGGCACCGAAATACAACACAGATAACTCTTATGTCATTTTATTTATAAAGTGACTTTTAAAAACCAACACTTCCATTTTTCAATACGTGTACACATTTCTCTTACAAGGTTAGGGAAAGTCGGAGTGAAGGATGTCAGAGGAGTTAGTATCCCTAAATAGATTTTGGCAGAAAATAAGATATTGACCAAAAAGCAAAAAGGAAGAGCCAAGGGGCAATTGGATTACTGTATACTAAAACTTTATATGTAGAGAGTTTCTGAAAATAGAAAAGTTTGTTTGCTTCTAGATTAGTATAGTAAATCAAGATAATTCTTGCAGACATAGTCTTGCATGTTGTCTGTTGGGAGGGAACTGACAAGCGTATAGAACTGTGCTATCCAATATGGTAGTCACTAGTCCTTTGTGGTTGTTAAAACTTAAACTAGCTAATATTCAGTAAAATTAAAAATTCAATTCCTCAGTCACACTAACCACACATTTCAAGGGCTCAGTAAACCCATCTGGCTATTAGCTACCATATTGGACAGCTTAGCTGTAGAACATTTTCTTTATCACAAAGTTTTATTAGATAGCATTGGTATCAAAGGTATAGTGGATGTTCTCATTATAACAAGTACATTCTCAAAATTGGTGAAAATAGTGTTGTCTTTTTTGCCATTTTAATATACTTTAGCTCTTATTATTTTTTTTACAGAACAAGCATGCTAAAGGCACACCAAGTGACTACAAGAAATTTAAGCCTTGCTGTATCAGACTGCTTTTGGAAAATGGTACGAGAGTCAGTTGAACAACAGGCTGATAGTTTCAAAGGTAAGTTGGATTTTTAAAATAAGCAAACAAATTCAGACATTTTATTAGCTGTCAATCTTTAGCATTTATCACATTCTATGCCCCTTTAACAGTTGCTTAGTAATTCATTCACTGTTAGACAATATATAGAAAATGAAAAAATGCAAATCTTCAGTTGTAGAAGAATAGGATTTTTCCTTTCAGAGGAAAATTGCTAGTGTTTGGGAGAAAGTGTAGTAAACTATAGAGAACTTGGATTTCCCCCTTTTTAGGGAGAAGAGAGGAAATGTGTTGGGAAGCAGAGCACTCTGTGCTTCATTTACATTGTACTGTTTCCTGAATTCCTGCTCAATGTCTTTGCTTTCACAGTTTTATCTGATGAGACTATATTCTCCTTCCCTTTTCCCATATGGAAATCCTACCTATTTATCCCACTTAGTCCCTCAGCAACCTTGTAAGCATTATTTTTATTGCCATTTTACAGAAGAGAAACCGAAGAACAGAATAACTTACCCAAATAACTTACCAGTATTGGACAGCAACAGATAATAGATCCAGGATTTGGATCTTGGTGGTACAACTGCAGAGTCCATTCTTTTAGCAGCTATACTGAACAGCTTCAGCTGTGTGTTTGTGAATTGAAAATGGAGAAACTAGAATCAAGGAGAATTGTTTAGAAAGCTGTTGCAATAATGAAATTCTGAGATGCTGAGAGCCCAGAGTACTAAGGAGCCATAGGCGCACCTAAGAAATTCAGTTAAGACTGTAGATATGCAATATAACCTTTAACCACTACAGCTAGAAAGAAAGAATCATCAAATTTGAACATTTCCTTCTTCCTCAGCAACACGTTTTAACCTTGAAACTGAGTGGAAGAATAACTATCCTCGCCTGCGAGAACTTGACCGGGTAATATTTGGATACCTCATGTATTTTCTATATATCTTAATTTAATATTGTGTTCTAACAAAATTTTTGTTGAT